GTAGGAGTAGTAATAGTAGTAGCAGTAGTAGTGGCTCGGTTTGGGTGGTGCGAAACGATTTGGTGTTCATGGTTACTAGCGTACGAACATCAGTCGGTACTAAGAACATCGTTCAATCACATGAATACGTTCACATGTATGAGCACCATTCAGGCAACATCATGCAATCTGCACGTTTGTGTATATGTAAATGTCGATGATTACGTCTATGCAGATGTACGTATGTATACGTGTACGTGAGCACGCGAGGGTAGATGTGTCCAGGTGTCCAGGTAAATGTGTGTGTACACATACAAGCACGCATGTGCTACATATATGTATGTTTATAAATACGCACCTCTAAACATACACATATGCACACGTGTGCGATTATAGAATTAAAGGTGTAAGTATACATGTAGTTGCAATCACGTATATGTATAAGTATGCGTATATGTACATGAATATGCTGACACGCATACCCTATACGTGTCTATGTTAATATTCACCTTATTCACATATACATACACACATATATATATATACACGCATATCAACCCAAAACAACAACAGCAAGAACAACAAAATAACAAATAAACAAAGCGCCCTCAATACAAGGTCGCCTCAATACAAACTCTGCACCTGCTGTGTCCTGCAGTATTACAGAGGGGGGCGGGGGAGTGCCGAGGAGGAAGGTAGAGTACCGAGGACTGCCGAGGAGGTTGGAGTGCCGAGGAGTACCGAGGAGGGTGGCGTGCCAGGGAGTGCCGAGGAGGAAGGTGGAGTGCCGAGGAGTGCCGAGGAGGAAGGTGGTGTTCCGAGGAGTGCCGAGGAGGGTGGAGTGTTAAGGAGTGCCGAGGAGGGTGGAGTGCTGAGGAGGGTGGGGGAGGGTGGAGAACTGATAAGTACTGATGAGGGTGGAGTGCAGCAGGAGTACCCAGGAGGAGGGTGGAGCGCCGAGGAGTGCCGAGGAGGGTGGAGGAGGGTGGAGTGCCGAGGGGTGCCTGCCGAGGAAGGTGGAGTGCCGAGGAGGGTGAAGGAGGGTGGAGTGCCGAGGGGTGCCGAGCAGGGTGGAGTGCGGAGGAGGGTGGAGTGCCGAGGAGGGTGGAGGCTGTCTTTTCGATTTGTGGAGGTGCCTGGGGTCCAAGTACACAAGGACACTTGCGGTTCCTGGGGGTCCACAAACGCATCTTGGAAACAGAAAGAGAATACCTAATATATATATATATATATATGAATATGAATAGAATAACAGCATTAATAATAGCATATGATGAAATAGTAATGTAATATCAATTATGGTTGTGGTCGATAGTTTATGTTTAAAAAATGAGAAAACACAAAAACAAAAAAGAATGAACAAAAAAACATCCAAGAAACGGCACCGGGGAGACCCGAGTGGGGGGCCTCCGGAGGCCCCACGACGTTGTGATTAGGAGGTCCCCAACCAATCAACCGATCAATCCATCAATCCGTGTTTGCACAACACATCAGCTGAGTGAGGAAGTGCCGCCGGCTGGAGGCGCGTGTCTAGGCCAGGGCGCGAAAGCAAGGACAGTTCAGTGAAACAGTACTCTCCCTGGCGCCTCTCAGGAGCCGCGCAGAGGCTTCTCAGGATCCTCGAGGAGCCTCGCAGACGCCTCTCAGGAGCCTCGCAGAGGCCCCTCAGGAGCCTCGCAGAGGCCCCTCAGGAGCCTCGTAGAGGCCCCTCAGGAGCCTCGTAGAGGCCTCTTAGAGGCCCCCTGGAGGCTTCTTAGAAGCCTTTCAGAGGCCTCTTAGAGGCCTCTTAGGGGCCTCTTGGGGGTTTCTTAGAGGCCTCTACGATGCCTCTCTGCGACGAGTAAGATTTCCTCACGTTTTAGAAGAAACCGAGGAATAAACCACTTGGGCCGGGGAATATTCCATCCCACCAGAGTATACATTATCAAACTGGTGTTTACAATTCGATCCCCAACCCCAGGACCCCCCCCCCCCTCCTTGCGGGGGAGGGGTATTTGGAAAGGGGCGTCCCTTCGATTCGATTACGACTCTGCTCGATTTTCCTCTAGCTGGAACTCGTGGAGTGGAGCGTTTTCGGACCTCCTTAGTGTCTCGGACGCCCGGAGGACCGAAGAACATAACACTCCCAGAATCATACGAAAATTAGTTCCAGTTTTTCTGCGTTTCAAAAACCAGTCTCTCTGGGGTCGTCTTCACGCGTCTGGTGGGTGTGTGGGGGGGGCATCTTTGGGCTCTCGCGGGGCCATTCGGCCGCCCTCCTGACCGATTTGGGCTCGTCGCTTTGGCCCAGCAGGGGCTTCTAGAAGTCCCGGAAAGCCCAGGGAGGAGCTTTTGCAGGGGCGTCCAGGGGGCCCCCAGGGCCACAGATCCAGGAGGTTCTGTTTCTGGGGGGGTCTCACCCCCTTGGATTGACAGAAGAGTGGACAATGTAAATTTATACATAGAGAGGCCCGCCCAAGATAGGCCTCAAGGATGCTAATTTATACATAGAGAGGCCCGCCCAAGATAGGCCTCGAGGATGCTACGCTCTGGTGGCTCGCTCGCTCGCCCCCCTGCGGAGCTCCCGAGCGGAGGGCGGCGAAGCAGAGCGGGGCCAAAGCAAAGGAAGGAACGGTGGAGGGAAACAGTTGGTGAACACCCCCCCCCCTGTCCCCCAAACTCAAAGTTGGCACGCGCGGGGGAGACTGCGGTCGAGGTGCAACTCATCAGACCCACCGCCAGCTTTGAACATTGGGGGGAGGGGGAGGCGTTCACAGATGAATGTGGCATGAGTGTTCGCTATTTTTTTCCGAGGCCTGCAAGAGCGGGGGGGGAGGTCGGATCTGGGCCCGCGCACGGCGTGGCAGCTCGGATTAGCCGTCGGCCGCGGGTGCTCCGCCCTTCCAGCACACAGAAGAGACGCTCCGCTCTGGCTGCCGAGCCTCCATCTGGGAGGGAGACTGGTGGTGTCCAAAGCCTGGATACAGGCCTCGGAAAAATAGCGAACACTGATGCCACATTCATCTGTGAACGCCTCCCCCTCCCCCCAATGTTCAACGTTGGCGGTGGGTCTGATGAGTTGCACCTCGACCGCAGTCTCCCCCGCGCGTGCAAACTTTGAGTTTGGGGGGCAGCGGGGGGGTTCACTAATTGTTTCCCTCCACCGTAGCGAGGCGATAAAAGCTTCCGGAATGTCCTTCGAAGGAGCTCAGGCAGTTTTGGGGAGACGCTTCTGGAGAGCTTCAGCGCACACGTACTGGGAAAGAGTTGGAAAAGGCATTCCGGGACAAGCTGCAAGTTCAAGCAGGTCGCAGTGGGGATTCTTGCCGGAAGCAGGATCGAGTTTCGGAGCGACCCTTGCCAGCCGGCTTCTGCTCTGAAACCCTGTTCTCTAAGATCTATCCGGGATCCACTCTGGCTGCCGAGCTTCCATTTTGGAGGGAGGGAATTTCCAGAGCGGATGAACAAATCATCCAGGACGGAGGCTTAGCATCCGTGTGAAGGCTGTTGATGCCCTGGCCCTCCCTCCTCCCCCTCCTCCCTCCCGATCGCTCGATGCCTGGGGGCATGGAGAGTTCGAAGCCCACACATCCAGGTGAAAGAGAGAGTGAGAGAGAAAGAACGATGGGTGGACAAAAGGTGTCCACACCCATCGCGCCAATACGATGCGACATCGAACTGCGTCGAACAAGTATCCATAGCCCCCGCCCCCCCCCAACCCAAAGTTGACGGGGTTGGGTGCGAGGCAACGCGCGGGGGACAAAATATGGACACTTTAACTCTGGGTTGGGGGGTGAGGGGGGGCGGGCCACATGTATATCGCAATTGTCGTTGCCGTCATGCCTGATTATCTTCACGCCATCGGCGTGGAGACTTTTTGTCCGGGCACCGAGGAAAGAGAGAGAGAGAGAAGGAAAGAAAGAATCAAAAAAAGGGAGAGAAAGAGAAACAGAGAGAGAGAGAGACCCAGCGATTCCGACGGTGTCCCGGGCGGCAGCGGCAAGCGGTTGCCCGCCCGTGCTCGCTCAAGGGCCGAGCGCAGCCCTGAGAAGCAAGGGGGCCCCCGAGAACGAAGTCCCCCCTTGGCGCCGAGGGCGGAGCGGTGACGGGGGCGAAGCGCCCCGCGCCTGCGCACCGCGAGAGACGGGCCGCCGCTCGGGCAGCCCCCAGGGGCGTGAGGGCGTCGGCAGCGTGCAGCACCGCACGCAGGGCAACCCCTGCGTGCCTGCGCGGGTGAGCGCGGAACCGCGGAGCGCTCGCCAGGCGCCACGCAGGGCACAACGCGAGAGGTCGGGGTGAAACGCGCCAGCGTGTGGGCCAGCGGGGGGCCGTGGAGCAAAACTGCTCAGGGCCTCCCTCACGGTCGCCAGGCCGACCTTGGGTGGTGGCAGCGAGGACGGCCGACGGAGGGCCGCCCACGCCACCTGGGCGCGGCGTGGGCGCTGGGTGAGGGCATTGTGGCGCTCGAGGGTGCTGTGGAGCATGGCAGTGAGGGAATCGTACTGGGCTTGCAGGGCCGCGGTGGAGGCGGCAAGAGCGGCAGCAAGAGCCGTCGCTCACAGCGTCTGGAGGTCTGTGGTTCAGTTGGGGTGTGAGGCAGGGACGCAGGCAGCACCCCGTGCCCCTGCACAGAAGCGCAGAGGGAGGGGGGAGAAGGACGGGTTCAGGTCTTGGCTGGGCGCGGCCTGTCCTGCCCATCTTCCTGCCCCTCCCATTCCCCCCCCCTCCGCTTTCTCTCCGCGTCGGGTGCACATCTTGTGAAGCCTGCATCCGCATGCATGCACGTTTGGGTCGGGGCGTCGGGGCCTGCCCTGGGGCCTGCGCTCGCGCCGCTGGGTGTGGCACGGCCCCTCGGGCTTGGCCAAAGCGCTCCCCCGACCACAACAACGGCGACGACGACGACGACGACGACGACGACGAAATCGACGAAGTCGACGTCGACATCGGCGCCCCCCCCGCAGCCATTTTGGCTCCCGCGGCCGCACCCTCGACCGCGCAGACGGCGCGCGCCCACGGCGCCCGCCGCCCCGCGGCAATGAGCCATGGAGGCCGCCGCTGCCGCAGCCGCCGCGGCGCCCCTGCTGGAGGTCGCCGCGGGCGAGCCACAGGCCGCCGACGTCGACGACGACGACCACGACCACGACCACGACGACGACGACGACGACGACGACGACGACGACGGCGACGGCGACGACGGCGGCGACATCGCCGCGGGCGCACCACAGGCCGAGGCCGCTGCTGAAGAAGGCGGCACGGCCTGCGCGCCAGCGGCGGCCGAGGGCTCTGCCGGCGCCATCACCGACGCCATCACCGACGCGGGCACTCCGGGCGGGGCCAGGACAGGGAGAGATCGGTCCAGGGCGTCAGCGTGCAGTTGACGTCCCAGCTGGTGATGTGCTGCGACAGTGTTTCTGGGTCGATGCTCCGGCAAGGGCGGTGCAGCGCTGCATAGTGCAGCATTGTATTGCACCACTCGCGATTGGGGTTGCGCATCCGCCTCGCGGTCTCTTTTCACTTGGTGCGTGATGCGAACGGCCCGCGCGCGAGCTAACAGGGCCTACATCGAACCATGCTGTTGTTGAGCAATGGAAAAACCGTCCCAGAGCATTCCGCAACGCTCTTTGAGCCTTCGGAACGCTCTGAGAAGGCCGCGGCTCCCAATACTTCCTGCAGAACTGCTGGACCCGTCCTCAGAGGTCCCCCCCTTTGTCCCGATCCGACGCTGCTCCCCGTCCTGGCCTCGCCTGAGGCGCCGATGCCGGCGCCATCACCGACGCGGGCACCGGGGGCAGCAGCACCAGCGGAGGCCTGCCGCCGCGGGCGGAGGAGCTGCCGCCCCCGCCGGGGGCCTCCCCGCCCGGCGGCCCCGCGCCCGCCGCGGCGCCGCCGCCGGCGCCCGCGGCGGGCGCGCGGAAGCCCGCCGCGGCGGCCCCGCCGGCGGAGGCAGCGGAGGGCGCCGAGGATCGGCGATTCGGAGGTGGGGCCTTGAGGGGTGGAGCCCCACGTCAGGGGCAACGTCTAGGGGGGTGGGTGGGCTCAGCTGGGGACGCATCGAGCCCTGATCGCCCGGTCATCGCGGCAAGGGGCCTGATAGCCCCACCCCGCCCAGGAACATGCGGATCCGCCATCGGGGGCCCATAGCGGATCTGTCGGCGATATATCGAAGATTCCAGGTCGACGTTGCCCCCCCTGAGCCATTCCCCTTTATTGTTGCCCCGCAGGGATGCGGCCTTGGGGAAGCGAGAGAGATCCCCAGCAGAACCTTCACTGTTTGAGGCCACCGTCCCGAGGGCCCAAGCCCTCAGGGCCCCATCTCTAAACCGACAAGAGGAGCCCCGCGCGGCGCTGCCGCCGATACCGGAGGACGCCGCGACGCCGCGCGCGGAGCTGGGCCCAGAGCCGTTCCTGCCTTTGGAGAGGCTCTGGGCCTCCCAAGTGGGGTCCGCGCAAAGATGGGGTCGGGGGATCGCGCCGCATCACCGACTGTGCATCTCCGTCCCGACGTCGCCGATGCATCGCCAACGTCGCCGATGCATCGCCAGTGCGTCGGCGATGTACTGGGGATGCGGCGCGAACCGCCGACCCCATCTGCTCGGACCCCATATGGGAGGCCTCTAGAGGCTGACCCCGAGGGGCTGCGGCTTCGGTGGCTACCTTTGCGAGCTCGCCGTGCTGGAGGCGGTGGAGGAGTACCTCCAGTTCCACGGCCTCGAGAGGTCGGTGCGGGCCCTGAGCGCGGAGGTGGAGCGCTACGGCCTGAGGCAGACGGGGCCGCGGCCCTCGCGCGAGGGCCCGGCCCCCGGCGAGACGGGGCCCCCGGCCGGCGGCGGCGAGTTCGCCGTGGCGGTGGCGCTGGCGGCCTTCGAGGCCGGGCGGCAGGAAGATTTCTTCGCCATCTGGCGGCGGCTGGTGCCAGAGGAGAGCGCCAGGCATCCGGTGGGGTGCACCCTGCAGCTCCGGCTGCACGTCCACTTCGGCTCGCTGGGCACGCGCCGCTCGCTGCGCGCGGGCGCCGCGGCTCCCGGGGCCGCGGCGCCCGCGGAGGAGCTCCCGAACTTCGGAGCGCTCCGCGAGTTCCTGGCGACCGCCCCGGTCTCCGCGCTGGACGAGTCCGCGGGCAGCGCGTTGGCGCCGCTCTTCGCGTTGCCCTTCGTGCCGCGGCCGCACCAGAACCCGGCGCTGAGGTTCGTCTTCGAGGAGGCGTGGCTCCAGAGGCTCAGCATCGTGCAACCTATCCCCATTCCCCACTGCGCAATGGCACCTCAGCTCTGCCAGCCCACACCCCTCCTAAATAGGCATAGGCCACGCGAAACCCGGAGGAGCAGGCACCCATCCCAACCTGTAGGTGTGTAAGTCGGCCAGTGGGCCAAGGCCGCGCCGCGCCAGTGGGGATAGGGATCGGTTGAACGATGCTCCGAGGCTGCGCTCCGACCTCGGCGCCTTCCTGTCGGCGGCCGCGCGGGGGCGGCACGCGCCGGCGCTGCGGCACCTGGCCGGCAGCCTCGTCGCCGCGCGGGGGCCGCAGGCGGCGCCGCCGCCCGCGAGCTGGCACGAGCTGGTGCGCATCGCCGACCTGGGGCTGGCGGCTGCCTTGCAGCTCTGCCGGCCCCGGGGCGGCGGCATCCTGCGCGAGGCTCGGGGGCCCCACGTACTGGTCGGGAGTGGACAGGCCTCCTACCCTGACACGTCGATTAGCGAACTGGCCGTTTTCGGTTCGCGAGAGGGCGTCGCAGCCGTCATTTTTGCGGGTCCAGGTCCGTCGGTTTCGGTCCCAGGCCGTTTTCATTCAAGAGAGGTTTACTAAAGGGAGGTTTGTCCACCGCCGAGCTGGTGCGGTGGCCGCTCCGTGTGGTGAGCCGCTGTCGGCGGCGTGCCCAGGGGGGGAGCGAGAGCGGGGAAGCCTTCTCGGAGAAGCAGTCGCACGTTCTGCGAAGCCTCGCAGGCCTTCGCAGGAGGCGCGAGGGCTTCTCTGAGGAGGTCCGAGGAGCCCCGCTGCCTTTGAGAGGGCCTGCCCCCTCTCGCTTCCCCCCTGAGCGCGACGCCGACAGTGGAGATTCGGGTGACCGCACGGTCTTGGGACTTGGGTCGTTCTCCGAGGACGTCTCGGGCGGGCGCCTGGGGCCTGCAGGGCTTCAGAACCGTGCGGTGGAGGGCGGGCGGTCGCTGGGCATCCCCAGGTCACCGCACGGTCTGCCGCCGCACCGCTTCGAGACCCCCCAAGAGGCCCGCAGCCCAGCGAGCCCGGGCCGCCAGCCCGGCCGGCGGTCCTCCACGCCGGTGCCCCGCGGGGGGGCCGGGCAGAGCCCGGGGCTGCTGCGGGAGGTGGCGGACGCGCGGCGCCGCCTGGCGGCCGTGGGCGCGCGGCCGCAGGAGCCGCCCGCGGCGCCTGGGCCGCAGCCGGGCGCGGCGCTGGGCGCGGCGTCTGAGGACGTCGCCGTCGACATCGCCGCCCCGACGACGACGACGACGACGATGGCGAAGGCGCCCTCGCCGCCGCCTTCGGCTGCCGCTGCTGACATCGCCGCCGCTGGCCGCCGCGGCGGTCTGGGCGTTTCACCCCAGGCGTTTTCGCCCAAACTCAGGTCCTGAGAAAGTCGCCGATCGATCGGGCTCGAAAAATGCAGCAGAACGATGGGGCCTAGGGCTCCAGTTGTGATTTTTCCGATGCTCCACTTTTTCAGCAACGTCGGATCTGAGGGCCAACGCCGCCTTCTCCGCCGCCAGCGCCCTCGCCACCGCCTCTGGCCGCCGCTGCTGACATCGCTGCCGCCAGCCGCGGCGGCGGCCGCCGTCATCAGCTGCGGCGGCGGCCGCCGCCGTCGACGGCCGCGATGGCCGCCGTGGGCGGCGCGCCCATGAGATCCTGGCGCGGCGATGTTTCACCCCAGGTGATTTCGCTCCGCTTCGGGCGCCGGGTTCCTGACGTATCGATCTGGCTCGGGACATACCGCAGCCAGGATGGGTCTGTGGCTCAAGTCGTGGTTTCCCACGGCACTGCCATTTGTTCGTGACGTCACATCTCAAGGGCCATGAAGGAAAGGAGTCCTGAGGGAAGCAGGTCCTGAAGCTTGTCCCCGTTTGGGGGGCTCCCTGGACCCTCTACGGACCCCAGGCCTCGAGTAGGGGACCGACTACAGAGTTCGTGTACCCCAGAATGTTTGTCTTGCCAACTCCTACGAAAACGCTTAGAATGCTCCGTAGCTCGACAGGACTTTCTCCATAGTTTTAGTCGATTGGACCAAAAGTCAATTCTGTGGTCGTTCTTCTACTCGAAGGGCTGTCGAACTACACCCGCATATACAGGCCCCGAACACAAACGCTGCATCATAAAAACGCATTGACGGCACGGCACGGCAGCTTTTTGTCTGCGTTCTGAAAACCGATACGGCACGGCCACTGCTTCGCATTTTGCGGACCATGCACGCGACGGCACGCGGGCACGGCACTGCACGGTAACTTCTTCGCAGTCTCAGCACCAAGCACGGCAAAGCACGCCACGCGGGCACGGCACGTCACGGCAAGTCTTTCGAATTGCCAAGCGAGTTTGGGCTCGACCCCATCGCGGGAACGTTTCTGATTGCATGGGCGCATTGCGTGGCATTGCTCGGCACATTGTTTGGCACATTGCCTCTCCGATTGCTTGGCGGTGCGTGGCATTGCTTGGCATATCTAGGCATGGCATGACAGTGCTTGGCGTTGCTCGGCATTGCTTGGCGTTGCGTGGTATTGGTTGCATTGTTTGGGATTGCGTGGCAAGGCATCAATGTGTCAAGCCCACTGAACAAAGACCAAGGAACCAAGGAACCAAGACAAAGGTACCAAGGCATCAAGACCAAGGACCACGGATTCAAGAGCAAGGAAACAAAGAACAAAGATCAAGGAACCAAGGCAAGGAACCAAGGAACGAAGAACTAAGGAGCATAGGCAAGGCCTTGTAAGGGAGCAAGCCCAAGGAACCCCAGGGAACCCCAGAGTTAGAGAACGAGACCGAGGAACCCCAGGGAGCCTCGACGCTACCGCGTCCCGCACCTATTGGTTGCTTCACACACAAGCCAAAAACCGAACGTAAAGCTGAATTGGGGAGCAACTCAAACCAATGCCAAGTGACGATGGCAAGTATTGCTATACCAGGAACTGTCAAGCAGCGCCAGGCCGTGCAAACCCTCGGGGGCCCGCTTCCTTCGCGCCAAAGGACGGCCTCGCCGGCGGCCCGCTGCGTGACCTGCCCTGGCCAGCGTCGCGCGAGCGCGAGCGCGCGGCGCCGAGCCGGGAGGAATTCGGCAGGGCCTCGCCCTCGCAGCGGTTGCATTCGGTGCAGTCCGCCCGCGGCCTCGACTCGCGGGCCCGCGCCGCGACGGCGCTGCTGCCGGTGCCGCCCGCGCTGGACTTCGGGCGCATCACGCAGGCCATCTCTTTTTGTTCATATTTTTCTTCGACAACAGATTGCCCTCTGCCAGCTCTGGTTTCTGAAGGCTGCTCTGAACAGTTCCTGTGTGCACTGTGCTCCGTGGGTCTCAGGCTTCCCACGTTTTGGAATACCTGCGAGTGTTCATAAATTCAAGAACACAGTAAACACATAATCAATCAAGTCTGGTGATCCAAATGCCGATCGCCACAAGAACTGGTGGTCCGCAGAAAACAGCGGCACCCGCCATCTCCGGGGCCAGGATCAGCTGAAAATCGGAATCACGACGTCGGGGGTCTGGGAAAGTCGATCCCCGAACCCCGGCTGGAGTCTGTCCTGACCCGTTTTCCGAGGCGGGCCCAACCCTGGCGACGAGAAGCTTCCAGGCGGCCCGAGAGTGGCGAAAAAACGCCAGGGAGGGCCCCCGTTGTCTCGACTGGCCCTCCCCGGCAGGTCATCGAGGGCGCCGAGCAGGATCCGCAGGCGCCGCCGCTCAAGGCGGTGCTGCGCGCGGTGCTGCGGCGACTGGCGCTGCCAGACGAAGCCATCCGGCCGCGCCGCACGTTCCTCGCCGCCCTCGCTTGCTTCGGCACCCTGCGCGCCCTGGCGGGGCGGCTCTCAGAGGACGAAAAGGATACCTCTGCCGCTGCTCGTCCTGGCGAGCCCTCGTGGTCGCGGCCACGAGGGCTCGCCAGGACGAGCAGCGCTAGAGGTAACTGCATGTCTCCCCAGGCTCGGCGAGATCGCGGCCGGCAGCGACGCGGAGCTCACGGAGCTGTCGCTGGCGGTGCTGGCCGTGTGCGCCTGCGAGGTGGTTGGCCGCAGGGAGATCGAGGCCGGCGAGAGCCCGGCGCAGCCGAGCTGCCTGGGGGCGCTGGTGATGGTGCTAGGGAGGGAGCCCGTGGCCACGCTCGTTCACATGCAGTGCCTGGCCGTGTTGCAGCGCCTGTCCCTCCGGCGGCAGCTCCAGCTGAAGATGATCGAGCTCGGCGCTGTGGACTGGATTCTGCAGACGCTGCCGACGATGCGGCGGCACGCGCCTGGGGGCAGCGAGTCTGGGAGCTGGCACCTGCACGGCCTCGGGGGCGGGCCCAGCCTCCACGACTTCTCCGTCGAGTTCATGTCCGCCCTGCTGATGAACCTCACCCTGCGGGCCGCGGGCCGCAGGCGGTGCTCGGAGCTGGGCGCCTACGGCGTGCTCGTCGGCCTCATCGAGCACCCCAACGAGCAGGTGCGCACGCACGTGAACGGCACGCTCTACGCACTGTTCTGCGCCTCCTCGTTCCGCGCCGACGCCCGACGGGCGGGGGCGGAAGCAACCCTGCAGGAGACCCTGGCGCGCGTGCAGCCCATGAGCGACCGAGACGACCTCCTGAGGAGGCAGCTCGAGTGCCTTCTGGCGCAGGTGCGCAGGCCGGCAGACGCCAGCGACGAGGACGAGGACACGGACAGCCTGGAAGGCATCGCCGACGGCGGCATGGACGACGGAGACAACTTCCTCGATGAGGAGGAGCTCGCCGGACAGTTCTTTCTGGCCTCCATGAGCGCCGTGGAGGCGGCGGCGGAGGCCGCCGCCGAACTGGGCGACCCGGACGGCGAGCGGACGAGCGCGGCGGCCACGGAGGCCGTGGCGCGGGAGGTCGCCGCAGCCGAGGAGGCGTTGCGCCACTTCCGCGCCCAGCCCCAGGTGGCGGACTCGCAGCAGCGCCGCTTCCACGCCTTCGTGTCCCGCAGCTCAAGGAGCATCATGTCGCCCAAGAGGATTCCGAGCTCGATGCAGAGCCCCTCGCCTTTCGGCGACCCGTACGTGCCCCCGCCAGCGCACCCCGCCGCCGCGGGGGCGTCGCCGCCAGGGCTGCAGTCAGCGCACCCCGCCGCCGCAGGGGTGTCGTCGCCGGGCTTGGTGCCCATCCAGTCGGCGCCAGTGTCGCCATCGGAGGACGTGCAGCAGGAAGGCGCCCGGCGTGCCGGCGCCCCCGCGGCAGAGGGCGGCGGCGCCGAGAGCGACGCCAGCGCGCAGGCGGAGTGCAAGGGCCTCCCAGCGGAGATGGCGGCGCCGCCGCCGCGGGCCAGTGACCCATCGACCGTAACGACGCCGCAGCCATCATCCGAGGCGCCGCACGACAAGGCGCGGGCGGCGGGGGTGGCGTCGCCACCGTCGCAGAAGCCCGTAGCAGCGGCGCCAGCCCGCGGCGGCCCCAGCGGGCACGCGCCCGCAGCCCGGCCAAAGGCCGGCGGGCCGCCTGCGCCGGTCGCGCCGCGGAGCAGCGCGCGCGGCCCGCAGCCGCCGCCCGCGCCGCAGCGCGGCGCCGCGCGGGCCCCAGCGGGCGGGCGCGGCGCTGGCGGCGCCGCCAGCAGCGGCCGCGGGGGCCCCGCCAAGCACAACGCCGGGGCCGCCAGCGCGCCCCCGCCACGGCTGCCGCCCCTCGCCGCCGGGGCGCCCACGGGTCCCGGGCGGGGCTCCGCTCGCAACCGCTCCCGCTCCGGGTCGCCCTTCAGGCCCGGTTCCGGCGGCGCGGGCCCAGGCACGAGCGCCCGCGCGGCGGCGGCGGTGTCGGAGGCGGTCAACGGCGGCTCGCAGCTCCGCCGCGGCAGCCGCGGGTCTGCGGTCGCGCGCGGCGGCAGCCGCGAGCCCGCGCCGTCGGGCGGCGGCAGCCTGCCGCAGCTGTCAAGTGGCAGCCTGCCGCGGCGCGGCTCGTGAGTGGCAGTCGGTCGCGGCCGCCGCGTTCGGCCCCGCGGCGAAGCGCACGCAGCGTCGTCCCCCTCCCCCTTCTCTCCCCCCCCCCGCGCGCGATGGGAGAGCAGGGAGGGAGGGAGGGGAGGCAGAAGGGAGGGGGTGGGAGGCAAGCTAGGTGCGCTCATGTGCGATCGCGTCATATCTGACGTTCTACCCCTCCCTCCCATGTGCGGAAGCCCGAAAACGAGGCCAGCGCCTCAGCGAGAGCAGCAGTTCGAAAAAACACCAGCGAAAACCCAACTCACCGACATCATGTGTGGGAAAAACAATACGCGAGGGGGGGCCGAACACTCCGGGACAGATTCCGCCACAGACTCAGGGGAGAGAGGAGAGTAGTATTCAGATTGAGTAACTGTTGAATGGGGGAAGGAGGGGGAAAGGGGGGGTGGAGGGAGGAGGAGCGGGGAGTGAGGGGGAAGGGAGGGCGGGAGGGAGGAAGGAAGAGTGCGGAGGGAAGGGGGGAAGAGGGCCCCTGCTCACCCTCAATACTCCTTCTCCTCCTCCTCCTCCTCCTCCTCCTCCTCCTCCTCCTCCTCCTCCTCCTCTTCATGCTCCTCTTGCTCCTCCTGCTCCTCCTCCTCCTCCTCCTCCTCCTCCTCCTCCTCCTCCTCCTCCTCCTCCTCCTCCTCCTCCTACATGTCTCTCTCATCAGAAAAGGGAATGCCTCGACAAGGCCATTGCCGATGTTAATTCGGACAACGTGATCCCGATCAAGCAAAAATCACAAAAGCTCAACATGATGCACCATCATCGCAGCGCTTTGAATAATCGGAGTCGTACTTTTACGTTGGGGGCTGTCGAGGACCCGCTTGGTGTTGCCATCTTGGACCCCGTGCTGGCGGCCCGGGAGCATGCCAATTATTGGGGCCAGGTCCATGCCGAACTCAATGGTGATGACGACGCTCGGGAAGAACTCAGGGGCTTCGTGGTTCCTGCGCCGTCTGTGCCGGAGTGGAAATTGTGTTACGACGAGTTCGCCCTGATCTTGGCCCCGAAGTCTGATTCTAGTCCAGGCCCTGACGGGGTCCCATACTCTGCATGGCACGGTGCGGGACCGTTTGCCCTCAGAGCTCTTTACGATGTCTATTGCCGCATTTTGGAAACGGGGAGGGCGCCCGCGAGGTTCAATTGGGGGCGGGCTCTGATGCTTCCTAAAGGTGTCGACGCGAAGGACGCCACGATTGTCCAGCGGGCTCTGGGGAAGACTCGCCCACTCACACTTTCGAACACCTGCAATAAGGCAGTTGCCCTTTGCATCAACAAGCCGATGTCGTATGTATGCACCGTCATCTGCGACCTCGCCCAAAATGGCTTCATACCGAACCGCAACATGGTCAACAACATTATCGATTTAGAGGGCAAGTGCATACACTGGATGGTCCAACGCTACATGATTCGGACCGGGCTCGCGCTCTTTGACGTACGAGCTGCTTTTCCGTCTCTTGTTCATGCAGCTATTTTCTGGACTTTTGCCGCCACGGCGATCCCCAGCAATGTGGTTGAGGCCATCCGGGCATTGTATCAGGACGTGTGGGTGGAGGTCCATCACTGGGGCGTCTTTGGGGTGGGCTTCTTTTGCAAGAGGGGCATCAAACAAGGTTGTCCACTCTCCGGGAGCTTGTTCGCCCTGTGCTTTGACCCAGTCATACGGATGCACGCCGCGCGCCTACCACCATGCATCTCCTCCCTCAGAGCATTTGCGGACGACCTAAGATTGGCATCGGGGGACATCGTGCTCAGCCTGGCCATCTCGCTGCGTATCTGGTAGGTGGTTGGTTCTGCACTGGGCTTGGAACTCAACGCTGCGAAAACTGTCATAGTACTATTCGGCCCTTTCTCGTCCTCCGAGCTCCTGAGCGCCATGGCCGAGGCCGGCTTCCCGGACCTTGCCGTTCAAGTCAGTCGATGTGGGAAGTATCTTGGAGTACACCTTGGGCACGGTTGCCGGTCTGCTACGTGGGCTGAGCCGCTTGTAAAATACCAGGCTGGCAGTCATTTTGTGCGGAGCCTGGGCCTAGGGCTTCAGAAGTCCCTTAGCCATTATAACATGTTCGCTTACAGTACTCTCTCATACGTTGCTCAGCTCACCTGCCCAACCCAGCATGCGCTACGGATTGAGCGTGAAATGTTGCAGGTTGTGATTTCTGCCCCGCGTTTCGCCCTCCCTTTCCCCCTTCCTCTGCTTCCTCCGCTCCCTCGGTCTTCCCCTCCAAGGTAGGTGCCTGGAGCACGCTGGTCGGGCTGCTCTGTTCCGTGCTGCCGAGCATTCTAAAGCGTTCTTTGACATCAAGTCCCTGCTCGAAGATTTTGCCTCCTCCGACGATTGTGTCATTGCATGGAAATTCCAGCCGCTTTGGCGGGAATCGCATTTTCGACATATACCGGAAAACTGGCAATCCCTTTCTTCTCTGCCGGGCCTGCCTCCTCCTTCCTCCCACCGTCAGAAGAAGGTTGAGACCTTTGTGATAGATTCTTCCAGCTACTCGTGCAACACAGTGCTTGTGCGACGTGCTCGGAAGTTTGACCCTGACCTCACTCAGGATCAGGAGATGTCCCTGACCACGGTAATCACCGAGCTTTCTCCCTTCCTCCCTCTGTGTGTCCTCTCCTCCTTCTTTCGCACGTTGTGCAATGCGTGGTGCACGACCGGTCGGTTCGGGATTGCACAGCGCCGAGCGCTGCCGCGCCTGCAATGCCCCCCAGGGCGATTGTCTGAGGCACATTGTTGTTTGCCCCACCTTTGAACCTCTTCTTATCCTTTTCCCCCTTCTCCCTAACTTCTTCCAGTACGGTGGATGGCAAGATCGCTTGTGTGTTTGGCGTTATTTTCCCATGCCTCACGAGACGCTTGCCTCCGTTGTTCTAGCCCTCGACATATACAGCAAAGCCTACCATGATTTAAAACACTCCTCTATAACTTCGGCCCGGTTGCGGAAGCATGCCGAGGCTCGTTTGCAGCAGTTGGCACGGAGAGATGACTCTATCCGCAATTTTCATGGTAGATGTACGGGGTCGTGAGTCCCCGCTGCGTTGTGGCTCGCCTCGCTGTCCGATGGTGGGATAGCCCTCTAGAAGGGCAGCGGATTGTCTCTCCTCCCTTGTTGCTGTCTCTCGCTCTTCTCTGCTTGGATCGTCCTGCTTCCCTTGTCCGCTCTTCCCTTGCTGGCCAGTGTCGCTCCTCCTCCTCCTCCTCCTCCTCCTCCTCCTCCTCCTCCTCCTCCTCCTCCTCCTTCTACTCCACTTCCTCCTCCTACTCCTACTCCTACTCCTACTCCTCCGCTCCTCCTCCTCCCTCCTCCTCCTCCTCCTCCTCCTCCTCCTCCTCCTCCTCCTCCTCCTCCTCCTCCTCCTCCTCCTCCTCCTCCTCCTCCTCCTCCTCCTCCTCCTCCTCCTCCTCCTCCTCCTCCTCTCCTCCTCCTCCTTCTCCCCCTTCTTATCCTCCTCCTCCTCCTCCTTCTCCTCCTCCTCATCATCATCATGCTCATCCTCCTCCTTCTCCTCATCCTCCTCCTGACCAATATGCACATAGCGTTGCAGGATGCATGTTGCACGAAATAGGGACCTCCAGGACACCGCCTGGCGACAAGGTCGACGGTCCTGCAGACCTTCCACACATGCCCACACACCGCAGCCAAGCGGTATCGTTGATAGTCCAGCATACACCCACGCCCCTGCTCGAGGCATGGACTTCCAGGACGCAGCCCAGCAGCAATGTCGGCGGTCCTGCACAATCAGGTAGAAGTGCTGTTGTCTTGCGACTTAGGTGGATGCTGGCGTTTCCTCAAAATGCTCTGTCTTACCATTGTCCATACAGGGCCCAGCCACCCTCCAAAGCTGTGCAATCTGCCAGTCTCCTCCTCCTCCTCCTCATCCTCATCATCATCATCATCATCATCATCATCATCATCATCATCATCATCATCATCATCATCATCATTATTATCCCCCTCCCCCTCCTCCTCCTCCTCCTCCTTCTCCTCCTGTTCGTCCTCCTCGTCCTCTTCATCCTCATCCTGGTCCCCCTCTGGACATAGCATCCCTGGAATAGAACCAATTTGGAATCCACCAGAAGCCAAAAATGCTTCGAGTGCAATTCGTCAAACCTCACTCTTCCATATCCTCCACATTCTCCTCTTCCTCATTCTTCTCCTCCACCTCCTCCTCCTTCCCCTCCTCCCCCTCCCCCTGCTCCTCCTACTCCTCCCCCTCCTCCTCCTCCTCCTCCTCCTCCTCCTCCTCCTCCTCCTCCTCGTTCTACCTCCTACCTCCTACCTCCTACCTCCTACCTCCTCCTCCCTCCTCACCATCCTTCTCTCTCTCCTCCTTCCTCCTCCTGTTCCTCCTTTCCTTTACATCAACCAAGGAATGCGATGACGTGAGCCTCCGAGCAGCATGATTTACCACGAACGCGTGCACACATTGGGCATGTGGCGGGATGCTTTGCGCGACTGGAGGCGATGCGGCTTTGTCCAAAGAGCGTGTCGGCGCCACGGGGGAGGCGGGTCAGGGACGCGAGACGGACGAGGCCACCGGACGAACGTCTGCAGGAAAGGAAAAGCTCGCGCGTACGTAGACCACACGCCCCGAGCAGCGTTGGAGGCGGTGCCCGCACCAACTGTCCCACGCGAGCACAAAGCTAGCGCAACAGAGCAGGGCCGCCGGCCAAGACAGAGGGGCCGAACCAAAAGAGCGAGCACGAAGCGTCGTGACTGGCAATGCACCGCAGGAGAGCGAGGGAAGGCAAGAGGAGAAGACAGGTAGGAGCAGTGCGAACAAGTGCGAGCAAATGATTTCTGATAGAAGCAATGTGCCGCACGTAGGGGGTGCACGGGAACGGGAAGCTGGTTGCAAGCTCGGTGCGCAAACCACCCCCGACGCCCCCGAGGCGGTGGACGTTGCCCCCACGGCTGGGGATCAGCGTGGGAGTTCTGAGACAGCTAATGAACCCGACGCGGACTCAACCATGGGCGCATTGCTTGGCTTTGCTTGGCATGTTGGCATGTTGCTTGGCATTATTGTGCGTTTCGTTGCA